GCACAATCATATGGAATTCTTATGATGGATTAAACTGTAAGATCGTACTTGCTTCCATAAATTCTCAAATACGCTGAAACATAATTGAACGTGACCCCAGAAACATAATCATCTTCTTTGGATTAGTGAAAGTGCTTGTACTTCACAAAAGCTTTCGGATTGATTTGATTACTCATATATCTCTAATTTTACACTTCTCGAATGAAAGATTGATAAAAGTAGAATTATTCGTTAACAATTGCGTGTTTGCAGCACTCTTATAGCTTTTTATCCGTCTCTCATTTATATTATATTGATCTTGAAACGCCTCGAGTTTGTGATACATACTAAGTTTATCCCTACAAGTAGATCTTCAAATGTGAAAAAATGAAACCTCGTTCTTCTAGTACAGCGTACCGTTTATCGGACATTCATGGTAATTTAACTAAATATATACAACATTATATCAATCAAAAAAAGTAATTCTTCATTTTTGCTCATTAATCAAGTTGATCTCACTGACTCACTACCTGTCTAGTAGTACGTCAAGATTGTCGACCATTAGGACCCTGACTCTACATCCACATTACATGTCAGAAGAAAATGATTATAAATTCTAATATTTTGAATTCAGAATAGGGATTTTTTTTATATTGGGCTATCCACTCATTCAAGTTTACTCGTTTACGGTCATGTAGTTTTTTCCACTATGTGCTACCTATACACAACATTTGCTTCCGTCAACTTTCAGTGAAATCTTATGTAATAATGGGTTCAAAGAAAGCTTGAGGCAGCTATACCGAAATTCGGTATCCGTTCATTAGGTTACTGGTTGTTGAACTAATTGTTGTTGGTCAATGCAGACCACTTAGTTTGAATCCCAAGTAATGGTTGAAGGTAATGAGTGACATAGCTCAAAATTCGTTACACTGGTGAAGAGACATAAAATCTTCATTTTATTGAAGATCTTGATTTCGAAAATAATCTCTCATTGTTTTGTTTAGCGAATTTATCCTTCATTTTAGTTTTATAATCTCTATGCTTAACCTTTTTAGTGCCATTCATATCAATTCATTCAGTCAGTCAGTTGCAACGTAGAACTTCGTATGTATGTACATAAGTTCATGTTGCCATACCACATTAGCACACAGAAGCAAATGTCAAATCAAATCCCATAGTGATAAAGATAGTAGAGGTATTAATGGTAATGAAGGAGACTAGGCTTTGAAGATATTATTCAACAAGTATAATTAGGTGAAATAAGGTTAGAAAGACAAAGGTAGATGTGCTGACGATTCCAGAAGATTAGGATTTGAGAGAGCACAACGAATGGATGCACTTGCGCCATTGCAAACGATTTCGAGCCATGTCATTCAAGGTCTCTAACCATCGATTATTATCATCTCGCGGACCCCAACCAGGTAGTCGACACCTACCGACATGACTTCATGGATTTTGTCATGTTTTGGCCTGGCCGCCCCTCACTTTCTTCCAACCTACTGCTACACTACAAAACAAAGCTCGACGAGGTAGTCGGTGGTTAGGCATACGCAGCACATGTCCCAACCACCTCAGCTGATGAAGTTTCATTACTTCATCTATTGACCTGCCATCCTTACTAAGTACTCATTTTCATATACCTGTTTCACTATGTTATTGTAACCGAAGCCAATGAACATTTGTACTAGATTTTGAGTTTCTTAATATTTTTAGTTATTCAGAAGCAGTAGAAATTGAAACAAGCTTATATCGCCTGCTGAATACAGATTATCATTTCAGCTATCCAGTAAAAGAAATTAGATTGATTTATTGGCTTATAACTAACCGGTTGAACGGTTGAAAGCTAAGGACATACTTTTTATGATAGTCGATCGGTGTTGGGATGTGGAAGTTATTACTGAACTATTTGTTGTGACATAACTGATCTGTTTAATTAGAATGTTGATTAGTAAACAATGATGGTATAATCAGTCAGTCAGTCAGATGCAACGTAGAACTTCGTACGTAAGTACATCAGTTCATGTCGCCATACCACGTCAGCACAGAGATATAATTGTCAATTCAAATCCAATAGTAGAAGAGGTAGTAAAGGTATTAGAAGTAATCGGAGAGGTTACGATAAGAAGATATTATTCAAGAAGTATGATTTAATGAGAAAAGTTAAGAAAGTCAAAACTAGAGTTGTTAAAGAACCCAGAAGATTAGGATTTGAGAAAACACAAAGCATAAATGGTGGTCGGGTTCGATATAAACTACACCACCAACGAATTGAATGTTCATTATAAATAATTCAAAACTTACAGGTTTAGTTGTAAATGAATAACATTGTAAATTGTTTTGACATTCTAATAAACAAGAATTTGTAGTCAATGTTTGTAACTTATGTAAATAGATAAATGTAAGAGCAGGAGCTCCAGAAAAATATATCCATTGTGTATAATTACACTCGTTAAATGTTGTACAATTGAAGCATTCAGCGCATGGTGTAACAGATATAACATCTGCGTCTACATTGAATAATCTATGCTGATTTTGTAGGCTATCAAACAAAATTATAATCATGCATAATTGTACATATTTCATGATTGTATTAAATATTGCGAAATGTGTGTTTATAAGTGAGAGATAAATTATGAATGATAATAATCATGTATATGCCTTGATTGTTGTGTGTGATTTTTTCTTTTTTGTAAACTGACCAATCGACTAATCGTAATTGATTCGAAATTTCAACCAATAAGAATTTAGCTGTGAATAATACTTTAAATACAACCAGTCTGTTTGAAGATCATTTTCACTAATAACACAACACCAGAGAGAGAGAGAGAGGGATATTAAAAGCTAGGGGATGTTTCAGCGATGTTTTACATTAACTTGACAGCCAAATACTGTGAGACTGTTTGTTTAAATTTGGGTGATAATGCATGTTTGCTTCGAAAACGTTAAGACATACCTATGGTTGAATTTAAATTAAGGACATCTTTAACTGTGGTGGATATAACTCGGAACGTCGTTTTTAAACAATATGCAGCAGAATGTCTTATAGCAGTTACTAATGGAGAGAAGAGTGTTTTGAAGGTCAGAAGATACATCAGCACTTAAAGCTATTTTTCAAATAGAGTTATTGAGATTAGTGTTTATACACAATTGAAATCAACCATTGTTAGGCCACCATTAGAAACCTGGAAGAACTGGACGGCCGTTTCGTCCCGGTATGGGAGTCATCAGCAGTGCACATCCATGACTCTTGCACCTAGCAGGATTCGAACCCGAGACCTTCGGTATTGTGCACGAACGCCTAACCTCTGGAACACTGGACCGGCATCCAACGGTGTTAATGTCTAACTCTGATTGATCTAGGGATTTTGCGCGACCTCACCCATTTGTCTTTGGTAATAATTGCCTACACCCGACAGGGTTGAACTCCATTGGTCACGTCTTCTCACTAGAACTCCGAGAATTTCCTCACGAAGCTAGTCACTAGTGAGCATATTTTACGATATTTTCAATTAGAGTTATGGAAATTAGTGTTTTTACACATTTGAAATCACCAATCAATCATTATTAGACCACCAAACTATTTGCTTTACAAATTTCATGGTAATAGCTTAAGTTTGTGAATCGAGCTATTTGATGCCTGTAATTCGTTTACAAATTTTAGATGGCTTCACCTAGGTACAATCACAGGTGTGTTGGGGAACAAAGAGCATTTTTGCAAAAAGTAAGACATTTATAGCTACATTCTGTTAATGGCTATTAAATTTGAAACATGCTACTAAGTTTGATAGTTAGTTTCATGCATACCATCATGCGAATGACGGTATGGATATGTTAGGATATCGACCAAATATCCTACGAAGAATCATTTTGTAAGTTTAAATTCTGTTGGTCGTTTTCTATTGATCAATAGTATAATCGTCCTAGCTATCAATGTCACGTACTTCAATTTTGTTTCAGATTGATCGTCCTGACTATCAGTGTCACTTCAAATGTTTTTTCCTATTGGTCTCCTTAACTGTCAGTGTCACAGACTTCAAGGCTGTTTCTATTCGACCTAAATGTTTAAATACGCATTATCTCTAAAATTTTAGGACCCAGATCCTCAGTCCGGGATCCGTGTCTTCTTCTGGACTCGGAACTAGTACTTTCTGGATGCTTGTAGAATACAGGTTCTACTTCATATTAAGTCTTCTTTTATTTAATGGGGGTTGGGACAATCGGATTAGAGTAGCCTGTCATGTCTCCGGCTCCTTGATCCTCGCTCTCGTTTTCCGACTAAGGTAAACTCGTAATAATTCAAGCATATCAAATGACATTTTTACGTGCAATGTATAACAGGATATCTGCATATCACAAAAGTTCAACAAATATACTCTTAAGTGTTTTTATCTTCTACAAAATTCTTCCATAATCGACCATGAAAATCCAGTTGGTGTATTCATATCCTTTTCTGTTCTTGTGAAAATTTCTTCAGTCAAAACAGAGCAAGTTGACTATCAAGTAGAGCTATCCATCATGGTGCATCATACTTAAAGCTGTTATTGACTATTATCTTGTCTTTAGAAGTTCTCCTTGCCAATGTTCTGCCATTCTGAATAGCATATAGTAGAGGTGCTGACGAATCCAGAAGATTAGGATTTGAGAGAGCACAACGAATGGATGCACTTGAGCCATTGCAAACGATTTTGAGCCATGTCGTTCAAGGTCTCTAACCATCGTTGACTTTCGTCTCGCGGACCTTAACCAGGCAGTCTAGATCAACCAACATAACTCAGTCCACTTGTCAGTGACTTCATGGATTTCTACCATCTTTTGGTTTGACCGTCCCTAGATTTCTTCCAACCTATTCCTACACCACAAAACACAGCTTGTTGAGGCAGTCGGTGGTTGGGCATTCGTAACACATGTCCCAACCACCTCAACTGATGAAGTTTCATTACTTCATCTATTGATCTGTCATCCTTACCTAGTACTCGTTTCCTAACGACAGCATTGCTTACTCGGTTGTCCCACGATATACGAGCAATGCTTCTTAAACATCTATGATCGAAAACCAGTAACCTACGAATATCTTCTACTCTTAACGGCCATGTTTCACAGCCATATAGGAGAACGGAGCGAACTGCTGCGCAGTACACCCGTCCTTTGGTCAGCGAACGGATATCACGCCTACGCCATAAGTGACGCAGGTTGGCAAAAGCCAATCGAGCTTTCTGTATCCGAGCTGAGATTTCGTCAGTCACCAGGCTATCAGCGCTGATGAGACTCCTCAGATAAGTGAAGTGATCAACACGCTCGACTACTTCACTCCCTATCACTAGTTCAGGTGCCGATACAACCCAATCTTGAAGCAACATTTTGCATTTCGAGGGTGAGAACCGCATCCCGAACATGCTCGCACTGTTGCTGATGGTAGTCAGAAGACTCTGCATTTTGTCAGCGTCATCGGCATATTCCAGATCAGTAAACGACTTTCCTGGAAGAAGGTCAAACCCTGAAAGATCTGACGAGCTGGATGTTAACTCTAAGAGGATGTCTGCAACAAAGTTAAACAAGAATGGAGACAAAGAACAGAACATAAGATCTATATGATTATCGAATAACATGAACAATTACTCATCTAGGTGTATGTATTC